ATTTTCTACTCTAAAGAGAGTCAGCTTCAGCTTCTCTAGTCTCTCCATGTAACTGGCATTCTAGTACATTTCTCCTGCACTCTTTCCAAAACTTTAGCCTTCCTACAAGTAGTGCCCATACTTGCACGCACTACTCTAGCTGAAACAGGCAAGTGATTTTTACAAAGGGTTTAGGATAACTTCTTTATGCTTAGTGCCTCTGTTTATGAAGCCAAGGATTTTATGTTGATCTCATCAGGAATAATGCCAGTCAGAGTTGTACTGAGTGATTAATAGGTACTTTTAGTGCACATTTTGTGATCATTTGAAATTTGACATTCTTCCATTTGTTGTGATGAATGCAAGACAAAACGTTTCAGCTACTTATTTTTTTCACAGTCATATTCAAGTTTTGTAACGTTATCAACCCATTCTGCAACATTCAAAAATTTCTCTGAGGTAACATTCAGGTCTTCATATTTCTATAGCCCCTTTCACATTCTATAATATTTATATCACACGTACGTAACGGAGAGCATTTTCATGATGAATATGAGCCATTTTAAGGATAATGCAGTGATTACAAAGGCAGATTAGTAACAACAGGGCTAAGCAGATGTTGCTGTCATGTTGGTTTCTTCACTAGCTAATGGAGGCACAGTCTGGCAGCCACATCCTTTCAGGCTTAACCAGCTGAATCAGTTGTGGGGCTGGTTTCTCAATTTGAATATCAATTTCTGATGGAGGTTTGACGGTTTTTGCAAGGTTATCAGGGCTGGGATTGCTTGAGTTCTTGTCTTGATTCAATGTCTGTGTTATTGCTTGGAATGAGTCACCAAGGAAGACCTCTGCCATCTGCACTGAGAATACTCATAGGTAACAGTAACTCTAGGTTATGTGCTGTCAGTAGTTGGTAATATCATCAGTTGTTATGGTTTGACTATCTCTCTTAATTATTACTGTTCCCAATAATTGAAAACTGATTTGAACCTTGGAGAATATTGACTGGTATGATTCCCATATATGCAACCACTTAAGGATAAAAAGGCTGTACATATTTAAAGAGAAAACACATGTTTAAATATTATTTGTTTGGGATTGCAGTATCAGTCAAGAAATGAAGAATTTGGCCTTGCCCAGTGATCCTTTTTTTTGATATTTGAGGGCTGCATTGTTCCTTACTTGTAACTTTTAAAAAACGATTAAGTAGAATTTTAATGTGTTTGGGAATACAGATCACTGGATACAGTAATCTTTCATTTGAGTAATTCACGTTTGGAACAATATCTTTCTTGTTTTCTATTATTGCTATGTGAGTGCTCAAATTACTGTTTAAACACTTTCACAGTGCTTGTTTCCATTTCTATTTTCCTGCTTATATAAATGATCCAAAATGGGCAATTTGGAATGTAACCATGGAGGAAATATGTGTTGCAGAACTCCATGTTGGAATCAGTAAAATATATTGTCAATATTTGGAATGCTGATAAATATGAGTTTGAAAATGGAACTAACTCCTCAAAAAAATGTTAAATGTATTACAAACAGATCCATACTAACTATAATTTGTAACTTTTAATTCCACTAGTTGTTTTGAAATTGACATCCAAAATCTTCAAGGTGGAAACTACTTAAAGATTGGAAGAAATCATTACACTTTCTATGCTTAATAGAGATTAGGATCTGATAAAATTAGGCAATAATTGTATTTACACATGATAACATTTGCAGGATTTATTTTTAGGTAAGTCTTTAGAGTACAGGCTTTGCAATTGGACTTGCACAACTTCTTGTGTATCAAAGGAGTTATGTGTCTGCAAGGCATATGAGTGACTCTTATCCCTTTGAATCTTTAAGATTGTACATGGAGCAAAGGGAGCTCAGGGACTCTGAGTGGTCTAGCTGGTCTTTTCTCTATTATTTCATGATAATGTAATTTATGATTCTAAGTACAAACCCACATCAGTTATGCAACATCTTTTCAAAACTAAATGAAGCTTGCTGAGTAGTGAGGACAAGAAAGTATAGTCTCTATTCAGAAGTTGTAATATGTTGCTAACTGCTTTCATATTATAGCACAGTACCTAATTGAACAGTTTATCATTTATAGCAGAAATCAGTAACAAATTTAAAGTGCAGGATTATTATTTGAAACCAAACATGAGAATTAATGATTCAATTCAGAATTTTCCAGATTCTGTGTTAATACTCTCAGCAGTGACTTTCTGCTCTCGTGATTCCACTCAATAAATTTATTTATAGCTTTTTTTGTTCTCACTTTCTCAATCCCTCTGTTTGAACTTCTGAGTAGCTTACTTGAAACTGCTCTTGCCAGCCATTAAAGGCACCTTCATTTGAGGAATAGGAGCTATGACTTGAACCCATACAGTGAATGTAACTTACCATTTGTTGTGCTATAAGGGCTAAGTTAACTTGGCATCTCTCAGCATCAATAGAATTTAGTCTGGGACATAAAAGCACAGATCAGAGAGGGCATGAGAGCAGTCTGGGATGTGAGCTCAGAGTCAGAATCTCGGCCTCTTGGTTAGAGTGTAGTGAGCTGAATAGTTAGAAGCTAAATGGAAGGTTTGAAGTAAAGACAAGGTTGGGAGAGATGAGGAAGGAAGGAAATCGTGATGGAATTGAGAGGAGAAAAGTAGAGATTAAATGATTTTGAGTAATCTATTGATAGTCAAATGTTCCTGAAGTTAGTCTCTTATCCATCAGAATGATTCATGATTCTGGAAGATGGACTTTTCTGCACTATTTGACTTCTTTAAAGCTGTTTGTTATTGTGATTATTTTGTGGCTTTATTGGGTCTCCTAACAAGGCATGTTCAAAGAAAAGCAATCCACATTGACTTGTTGATTGTGATAGCAACTTGCATAACAGTTCAAAAATGTTTTGAGCGTCTCAAGTGTCTATTATGCTAACTTTCACACAGGCAAGATTTAAAATGCCTTATGCATAATGTCTCATGTGCATATTGGATGTTTTCAGTGGTGCATTGTTAACATGAAAGAAAAATATTGCAGACACTCAACAGAAAATACTGGAAATATTGAACAGCATCAATGTAGAGAGAGAGAGTCAATGTCTTAGGTCAATAACCAGCCCTGATTTTTAAAAAAAAGTATATAAAAGGAAATAAAAAGGAAAAATAAAACTTTAAAAGGCATCAACTTGAACTACAGTATTAATTTTCTTTCCACAGATGCTGCACTGCTGAGTATTTTCAGCATTTTGATTTGATTGTATTATTAGTCATCAGAGTATTGTTGTTGGTTCTTCAAAAACGGCTGAGATGAATGATAGTTGTTTTCTGCTGTTTGAAATTCGATTACAATTTCCTACTGTTCTCATTTTTTTTTCTCATTTCTTTAACTTTAATTGAAACTTTCAATTTCAGCCCTGTATGTTCAGCTCAATTGTCTGAGGGCAAGAAAGTGTAGTCTCTATTCGGAGCTTGTAATATATTGCTAACTGCTTTTATATTATAGCACAGTACCTAATTGAACAGTTTATCATTTATAACACAAATCAGTAACAAATTTAAAATGCAGGATTGCTATTTGAAACCAAACATGAGAGTTAATGATTCAATTCAGAAGAGCACAATTTTACCTTGAAAATCCAACTTTGAAGAACTAATAATAATACTTTAATGCAACATTGGAAACATCTAATATGCAAATCATACAGGGAATTTTGGAAAGGCCATTTAGTCATTTTCCAAACCCTGCCCAGAGAAAGTTTAACATTTAAAAAGACATCTAACACTGTCTTCTCTTTCCCCCGCCCACTACCAACCCACCATTTTCTCCCAGCACACATCTGTATCAAACATTAAAATAAACTTGAGAAATTTTAGACCAGAAAGAGATGGAGATGCTAATTAATCTTTATAAGAGATGTGCAAAACTGCAGTATATTGACTAGAGGTTGGGCAGGCTGTTGAAGACCTGTTTCTCACTTAGCATTGAGTTTCAGTAAGTGCCTCATGTTCTTCCTAGCAGTTTTTGGAAATCAAACAGTATTTGCTTAAAGTGGTTTAGAGATATTTTTCTGTTTTCAAAATTGTTTTTTCATATACTATACAATACCCGGCTTAAGCATTATTTCAGAAAAAGTGCTCGTTTTGGTTACTGATCTTATTGTATGGCTCACATCAACTTGGAAAAACTCGTATGTCTGAGTCTGCAATCTGTTTATATATCTTGATATATAAATACCCTTGATAGAGTTCATTTATTAGCACTACTCTTTGTGAAGAAATTTTTGTTTTTGATCTTAATTTCGCAGAAAATAAAACCGTATTAGAATAGCAGCATTTATGCTGGCATGTTTTTCATGTGTTACGATACAGTGGCCTTAAGAAGTGTGTTTTATCCTTCTTTTTATGAAGAGAGATTGAGACAGAGGTATCGAGTGGTCTGTTCCCAACAAAATAAAGTAAACAGCTTGCGGTTTTCTTTTTAAAGTTGGAACAATAGAAGCAGCATGAAAGGGTGGGGTCAAGCTCCCACAGAACCAGGCTTTTAGTTTAACTTTCAGTAGTTGCTGGGGTCTTGAAGCTGGATGTGAAAGCTGTTATTCATGAATCTGTTACAGCAAAAACCTTGAGTTATCTTCCTACTACTGGATTGCGTGTGAGACAACCTATTTTACTGAATTTACCTTTGCCAAGGGTGTGTTTATGGGATGTCACTATATTGGAACTGTTGCTGTTTAGAAGTTAAATAATCTGTTATTCTGTTAAATTTTTCAATAGAGTTAAGATATTCCAATTCTTCGTTCTTTTATGTGTATTTTACCTGTAGAGTAAAGTAAGAATAAAGTGTGCTTTGCTTCAAACCTGGTCTTTTGACCAATTGAATTGCATCTGGAGTGCAACGCCTTGCACTTGCCTTTAAAAATAAGAAAATGTTGGGGCCTAAGCTATCATGTTAATATATTTTGAGGGGGTTTAATCTGGTCCATAACAAATGGTATTCATGAAAACTGTCTTTTTTTTAAACAGCACTGGTTAGACTGCACAAAACCGATCAAGAAACAAGTGAAAAGTAAGTATATGTGACTGACTTGCAGTTTAGTTCTTATTTTGATCTTGATGCTGATGTAATCATTCTATCTTGTCTATGGTGATCAGTTGTTTTGCAGTACTGTTTGGTTAAAAAAATCAATTATGTGAATAATTAATTTATGAATTTTTTTTTTTTACTCAGTTGGACCTTACAGTTTCCACTTCAGAATAAAATTCTATTCCTCTGAACCAAACAATCTTCGAGAAGAATTTACACGGTAGGAATATGTCATGTAGAATGTTAGTTACAGCAAGTAGTTGCAAACTTTTACATTTGTATTGAGGATTATTTTTGTTCTGAGGATGAGAGTAATGTTTGCAAGGCTGCATTTCGTGCCTATCTATATGGCTCTGATGGCCTAAATAGCCAACTGTGTGAAATTGGAGTCACAGGAGGTCAGTCTGGCAGCTTCCTTTTCTCGAAAATAATTAGTGGGTCTTGGATTTTTGACCACCTTCCAGCAGATTCCACTTATTCCAGGAACAGCTCACCAATCACTAAATTTGATAAATTCAATTAACCGATTTACCGTGGTGTGATTTGAGATGACTGCTTCCCATTTATTAGTTCAATACCATGACCACTTGTCAACCATACCAATATGATGTCTAAAATAAATTGAAATTTAAATTCTTGGATGTGAATGTATTCTCTAACAATATTTTCCATTTCTGTTTCATTTATCTTTTAATACTGAAATGAAACACATTTATGTATCTAAACAATCTTTATCTCTCTTCCAGTTGCACGTCTCCTCTTTCCTGTGTCTGTTCTGTTCTTTCCCTAGTTCTTGCCAACATTTCATTCCCCTTTCTTACACTCTTTGTTTATCATGTGCATAAGCTTTCTCCCTTTATCCTTCCGCATCCTTGGCCTGATCAATTGAAGCCAAGCTGTCTAATTTGAAATTTAAATTAAGTTTGGACAATTAACTGTCAGTCATTAATAACTGGTGCATTCACCATTGCAATGCCTCTGCCAATTGGAGTCCACATGCCAACCAACCAGCACTGCCCTACCATACAATATCAATTTTTTTTCCCTTTGCTTTGGTATTCTTTGCAAAATGAGTAGGTCTGAAGGGATCAAAGAGTATGGTGTGAAATTGGGAACAGGGTATTGAGTTGGATGATCAGCTGTGATCGTTTTGAATGGCACATCAGGTTCAAAGAGCTGAATGGCTGTCACCTGGTCCTATTTTCTGTTTCAAAGATGACTGCAAAAATGTCTTCTTTCAGCAACACCTCAGTGAATTCACTCAAGAATTCAAAACAAAAACTAATTCCCTGAGGTGTAACAGAGATCAGTTAGAAACTGATTGCTGTTATTGAGGGAATTCTGCAAATTGTCAGGTACTTGGTAATTCACACAGCTGAAGAAATCCAGCTTGGAATGGCTGTTAAAAAGATTAAAAAGAAATAAAATCACAATTGCATTGTGAAAGATATAAAACTTTCTCTTAAACATAGATATAGACAATTGATTTCAAAAAAGAGGAAATCTGAAACTTAGATTAATGTATTACAGATTGGCTTATAGCATGGAGTTCCCAAATAAAGTTTCTGACCTGTATGGCGAACTCACCTCTGCTGTGCATTTTATTCGAATCATCTCTGAATATAGCAATTTGTTTTACTTCTGACCTCCGTTACTATATTAGCCCAAACGTACATAAATGAGCTGAGAAACGTAAAGGCAGCATTTGAACAGTTATGGCATCAGGTTTCTGAACAAGAATTACAAAAAAATACAAATAAATGAATTTATTATAAATGAATTGGTTCTAGTTACAGATATATAATGGACCTTTGACATAATTTTACTAGTTAAGACTCTAGCCTCTCCTGCATCAAACCTCCCTAGATACGTTTTCAGAGAGAGACCAAAAATATGGTTGTTTTGGATAAAAAGAGAGAGAGAGACTGGGCAGTTCAATAATCCTTTCCCACGAAGTTCATTAAGATGATCCTTGATTTGATATTCCTCGATCTTCCTACTCCCAAGTACTTTCAATTGCCTGCATGAGGCCCAGAGCTTTTCCACTGGCAAAGTCTCTGACTTATTAGTTAAGAGCCATTGCTTACATCAACTGATGTCTGGAAATAAATTAACTTGTTTCAGGCATAAGATGTGTGTGGCATATGAAAGATACACTTCAGTAACTCAACAAGGTCTTTCATCAATACCTCCCAAATCTGCATTATGTATCAAACCAGAAGCAGAAGGTCAACAGATGTATGGGAACAATATTACCTGTACATTCTTCTCCAAACCACACATCGTCCTGACTAGGAACTATATCACCATTCTTTCTCTGTTGCTGAATCACAATCCAGGAACCACCTTGTTAACAGAACTGAGGATGTTCTTATACCCTAAGAATTACAGCACTTAAAGCAGTTCACCACTGCCTTTTCCAGTGTGGTTAAGGTAGGGGATAAATGCTAGCCCAGCCAGCAATGCTCACAGCCCATGAACAAATAAAAATAAAAGTTGTCCTTGTGCATTCCTGCAGTTTTAAATGGATATTTAAATGGACTCATCTAATAGATTGCTGATGGAGCCAAAGAGAAATAATGAAGCTTAAATTGTGCTACAAAGTTTCTGCAGAATTTTCAGGATTCTGCTGAGGTTATAGTGGACAATTGAAGCAGGCAGAAAGGGCTGACTCAAATGTTATTTCTACCTGTACAAGTTATTATTTGCTGTAGCCTGAGAGATAGGCTGAACATTCCAGTCAAGAATTACTTTCTCCTACTTAAAGGGAATTATTTTTTCTTTATAAAATTGTATAAAACAGCAAATTATTTTGAAAAAGATCAACCTGAATAAATACTGAAAGCCATCTTGACATTTTTGACTGCAGTGTATGTTTCCAGTCCAAGACTTTAGAGTTCCGTCGCTAGAAAATTGTTTGATTATAGTACCCTGTGCATGAGTACTGTTGCCTGTCCTGGTCACAGATACCTTCTGTCAAAAGAACACGCACATACGGCTTCCAAATCTGAATGGAAAGATATAATACATCTACACAGTGTTATCTGAAAAGTTATTTGGCCAAGCAACAATTAAATTCAGGGAAAAGAAATAATGCACAAAATGTCTCAATTGAGCATCAGAAGCTAAAGGCACTTCTTACACAAACTAGAGGCATTGAGCTATTTTCCTGGATTGGTGTGACTGGCTGAAGTTACTTCTTCTGGACAAAGTCAGAAGTCACATGACACCGGGTTATAGTTCAACGGGTTTATTTGAAATCACAAGCTTTCGTAGCACTGCTCCTTTATCAGGTGAAGTGATGAAGGGGCAGCGCTCCTGAAAGCTTGGGATTTTGAATAAACCTGTTGGACGATAGCTTGGTGTCGTGTGACTTCTGACTTTGTCCACCCCAGTCCAACAATGGCATCTCCATGTCATGGCTACTTTTTCTGGAGGCAGTAGTGGTAGATTCCAGTTCCTCCCTGAGGAGCCTGCACCTGTGGTGATCAGATCTTCCAGTGTGTTGAAAAATTTTGGTCAGATGGAATTTAGAGTAAAGGCAAAGGGCAAAGGCTGTTGCTATTGTGACAGGATTTCTCAGACTCTATGAACAAATAAAATGTGTTGTTTTTCACTCAAAACTGAATCAGGTGTCCTGTCTCTAAAACTGTTCCAGCCTTGGCTTCTCAAGACGTGCAGACTGTATACTGAAAATACAACATTGTTGGTATTGTAGCTAATGTCTTTTGGAAGTGTTCTTTCCAAAATGTTCAAAATGCATTTGCAAATATCCAGTCAACTGTTTTAAAAATTAATATTTTGGATAATACTTCTTAATAATTGTGATGAAGAAAACTGCAACCAAACCTCTGTTTTCTGAAATGATTTCAAGTGATTTCAATATCCAGTTACAATTTGATTTGCTCCACTTTCACATCCTTGGGCTGCAGCATGTGTTATATTAAACTTCCATTTTGAGTTTTCTGTTTTGGTAATCATAAATGATGGAGTATCTGTCAGGAATTAAAATGCTGTCAGGTTTGGTACTCATCAGATACATTCTGCTCAGCTACAATACTGGCAAGATGTAAAATACACCTCTGCCTCATCTCAGCTACCACAAGCTAAGAACCACTACCTATGCCAGTCTGTTATTTGTATTTTCTGTACCATCTGCCTATGATTTGTGAATTAGACTGGCAATGGATAATGACTGATATTATGGGTACAAGATTCCACTGCGCCATGCCATACATTGGAGTGAGGGCAGAATTAGCTGGAATGGGCTGAGAAGGGACTTGAGCAGAAAATTTCAGTTGAAGAAAATGGCAGATATTTAAGAAAATACTTCATGACTCAGGGCAAAGACATATCCCAGCCAGGAAAACAGATTCTAGATAGGAGATAAACTGATCATCATTATCCAGCGAAGTTAAAGATTACATAAAATTTAAGGAGAAAATACATAATGTGGCAAAGATTTAATGGTAAACCAGAAAATTGGGAAACTTTTAAAAGCCAATAAAAGAGGACCAAGAACATAATAGAGAGAGAAAATAAACTGAGTGCAGACTACAAATCATAAAAATGGTCGGTAAGAGCTTCTTTTAACAAAGAAAAAGGTACAGAAGCCAAAGCGAACATAAGCCCCTTAAAGAATGAGGCTGGGGAAATTATAATGGGGCTCCAGGGAATGGCAGAGAAGCTGAATAAATGCTATGTCACATTCTTTGTGGTAGAGGGCATTAATAGCATTCTAAAGCATTTCCAAAAGGCATTTGATAAAATACTGCTCCGAAGGTAACTTAATAAGATGAGCCCAGATGATGTAGTCAGACTCTTCCATACAGCTCCAAAACTTTGACAATGTATGGACGCCACTTCAAAGGCTTTGAGTACCATTAATACTGTTTGAGACAGATTCTCCACATCAGCTGGAAGGACAGGTGTGCTAACATCAGTATCCTTGAAGGAGCCAGTAGCACCAGCATCGAGGCTATGGTCATCTGAAACCACTCAAGAGGGCAAACTAGGATGTTGAGGATGCTCATGTTCTGACTGCCAAAGCAAATCCTCTTCCTCTCAAAGGAAGACACTTGAACAAGAAGACAAAGGAAGTGTTTCAAAAATACATTGAAAACTTCCCTTAAGAAATGCAATATGGATGTCAATGCATGGGATACCCTCATACAGAAGAAACCAACTTGCAGGAAACTCCTGTATGAAAGGACACAATTA